TACTTGCTTTCATTTGATGAAATTTAAATTCTTTTGCAGAATCTTCTGTGATGAAGTAACTTTTCTTGTGTTTCTGTTGAATGTTTATGATAGTTGTTGTATTAGTTTATTTAGACAGGAGGGGAAGACAGCAACAATGGTCAAAGAAGTGTTTCTGTTCACTCTAAAAACATGAAGTGCTGTAAGGCCACAGTGCATAGGAATAACCAGTGAATATTTTTGTCTGTATCATCGCTGCTTGTAACATTTATTGCAGCTCTGCTCTGTTAATCAAATTAATAACTGTTATGTGCAAGCCAGCATTAAGACAAAAATTAGGGAAGAACTAGAAGTTCTTTCTCATGGCAGAGCTGCAGAGAATTTGGTTATGTGTATTAATAGCTTAGCTATCATATTGCCCTTGAATTTAAAAGAGAGAAAAGTTACATTTCCAAATACTGCTTTCATTGTAAGAGATTGTTAGTTGTTAAAGCCACTAAATACAAGCTACAAATTGGTAGTGTAAAGTTTATTTTTCTTGGCTGAATTCTAGTGATATATTTTTAGCTTCATACTTTTCTGCTTAGCTAAATTGTATAAATAGCAGATGAATTATTTTTAATTTAATCAAGTAAGTTCCCCTCAGAAACAGTGACAATGCTGAGAAATACACTGTTCCTGTGTTTTAGTTCTGGACTAAGACCTTGCCAGAAAGGTGCCCCTTGAACATTTGCCCACTTTATAATCCAAATAGCAGTTAAGGGATGAAAACTGCAATGTCCTGGCAGTGCAGATTTACTGGCATTGAATCCAAATTGGTCCAGGGCCAGGTGGGTGTGAACTGACCCTGCTGGGGAGAAGCAGTGTAATGCACAGCACAAGAGAAATACAGAATTTTTTTTTTTTTTTCACAAATATCAAACTGCATACTTCAATAAAGTAATTTTGTGACTATAGTAGAGAAGGGTCATTGGCTTAAGGACTGGATTATTATCTGTGCTGGAAGACATGACAAGCATTGTGCAGCCTCTCTCTCAGTATGGTCTGGGGGTTCTGCATTTCCAGCATTTCCAGCTACATAATTCCCATCACACTTGCTATCACAGCTCTCACACAGTTAAATTACAAGTCAACACAATGTCAGATAAATGTCAGATTAAAAATTAGATTAACTGTCAAATTAAAATGTCAGATAAAACAAGAAAAAATTAACTCCAAAAACTGGACACAAAAAGAACCTCTGATAATATAGACAGAGGAAATGATATTGCTTTGAAAATACACCAGGATGTTGATCTGATAAGAGGCTCTGGCAGGACCTTCATATGTGGTGGTTCTAGACAATTCATTTTAATTGCTTCTATTTCCATCTTCAGCTTAAAATGTATTATTTTTTCTTGAAAGGATACTTTTATTTTTCTGAAAGGACCTTCTGAAAGGTGGACTGCAAAAGCAGTAATTGTTTTTGAAAGTATATTTGGAAGATTATTATAAATCCCTTCACAGTCTAGTTGCTGATTTGCTAAAGCAGGCTGTATTTCAGAGATTTGTGATAAACTTCATGTTGTTTAATAACAGGAATGGAAATTGAAAAAATTGCATTTGTTCCATGGTGACATATACATAATGCATTCCAAGGCTGTGTATGAAATGCTTAGATATTCACTTTTCTCCTCCACATCATTGAATTAAGTTTTTTCATAAAATGACAGGGGGTAAATATGTTAATTGCTATGTCGATTGTCACAGGCTTCTTGTTCTGAATTTTTTTATTAAATACTTCTTTGTATTTTGTGTAAGTGTTCACACTGCCAAAGAGCCAGAGGTTACTAATGAAGGCTTTGGCATGCTTGAAGGTAACTGAAAACAACAGAGAATTTGAGGTGAAAGTTGGGACAGTTGTTTTGTGAATGTTTTGCTTTCCCTGATTTATGGATATGTGTTAATATATGTCAATGTCCATGTAGCTGTATGTTAAGTGATATTCATAAAACAAAGAGGAAAAAAAGTATAGCTTTTATTTTAGGCAATGTTCAGATAACAAACCATCAGTTGTAGATCTGGCAGTGACCACAAGTCCCCCACTTTGATCTCTGAATTTGTGGACCAACAAAACTTTTCTAAAGTTTGCTTATATTTCCATTTATAAGAGTGTTTTCCAATTTGGATGGCCCATAAGCATTGTCAGGGAGGTTTTACAGGCTAGAGAAATTTCTTATTTCTCCAGAACAGTGTTACTCTGATGAACTACTTCTTTGTTTTTCAAGAATCGAGCTGTATTACAGTTGTGTAAGCACTCATTGTTGCTTTCCTCTGTTGTCTCTGATAAAATTATTTCTTTTCTGATTTCTCACTGGTGCTTTGTTTAATAGAGTTTTCTTCTTATTTTTATTGTTTGTTTGCTTTAGTAAAACATAGTAAAACCTATGCCATAATGGGGAAAATGGCTTCATTGGTCATGCCATTTGATTTTGAAGGCTTGACATGATGCTATTTCTCCATCACATGTTAAAGCTTCCACAATTCTGCCAACAAGGTGCCTGTGGCTCTGTTATACTCATCAAAATTGGCTTCTGCCCTGGGTTAATGAGCAAGTATTTTTGGCTTTTATGTGGCTTTCAATCAAATCTGGCAAGCTTTGGTGATTAAACTCATTTACAGGTACGAATTTGTATTCCACGAAACTGTCTTCACCACATGCAATAGTATGTTAGGAATTAAGTCAAACTCTGCTTTCCTGGGCCATGCTGGTCTAATTACAGTAGAGTATGCTTTAATGAGGATTCTTCTGAGCTGCCTCTGCCTGATATGGCAAACAGCCCAGAGGCAAATTTCAGATCTCAGTGTCAAGAACTGATTCATTGCTTGTCTGCAATTAACAGCTGTGCTTCAGGGTCTAGATAGAAAGCTGGAATAAGACTCTCTTTCAGCTCATATATTGAACCCAGAGTTGTTGGCCTTTTCCAATGCAGATGCAGCTCAAAGGCCAAATAGAATAGATTTGTCACATAGAAGATACTGCACAGATTATGGAGAGATAAGACAGTTTTGATTAAATTAACTCAAAGGCTTTAAATTGCACATCAAATAATGGTCACAGACAGTGGAAGGGATTTCATAAGGACAGAAAAACAAAGAGCATCCAGGAGTAAAACAGACCTTTTCAACTGAGAGTGATAAGAGTGATAGGTCACTGGTTATATAAATGAACTTTGCCATCTTTATTTTAATTGTTTGTAGCTGTAGGAGCTAGTGCTAAGCCTGCTTTGTTTGTGTGTGCCCCTTTCTTCTCATCTAATGTTGTGCACTTTCCAAAACACCAAAAGAAAAATTGTCATAGGATAGCATATGAAATATTATTGCTAGTAATAATATGGAGAAAAAAAATGCAGATTCTGTTCCTAGAAATTATTGCTCATCCCAAACAATATTCATGCCTCAGGAAAGAAGGGGGAAAAACACAACAGGAAACCTTCTTTCATAAATCTGCTTTGTTTAATCAAAAATATCATTGTTCTTGGCTAGCTATCAAGGCAAATGTCATGGCATCCCATAATGCTGGCTGCAGGAGCAGGCTTGTATCCCTGGTAGACACTGTTACACAGCCTGACCTAAACACAGCAAAGAGCTGGAAGAGTGGCCTGGTTGTGAGTTGGGAGATTTTGCTTGAGATACTCTTCTCAGATATACCAGTCTACTTTTTGGGAAGAAATCTGCCAAGTCGTAGTACAGAATAATACATTTTTTGCCTCCTGTCTAATTCCAGGGATAACAGCCAATTTGAATCTTCTTTTGGAAGACTTTTGTTCGCTGCCATCTGTAGATGTTTGAATGTGTAGTGTATGGAACAATGTTTAGTGCCCAGGATCTTTCCGTCTTTCTTTGATACTACTGTTTCAAAAATGCATGCTCTCTTCCATTAAATAGCTAAAGTTCAAGTGGTTTAAATCTTATTTTTTCAAACTAGAGAGCAGCATTACTCACATACCAGAAGGCTAAGTAATGTCTGGGATTTATTAAATCATTCAGCAAAGTTGACCACAGACAGTTGCATATAGAACAAGTGCTGGAAGAAAAATAATCTGTGATGATGTTCATTATAATATAACACACACAGACTGAGAGCCAAATACTTGGTATAATTTCTGTCTCTACAATTATTGCATTTCTTTTTAAACCTTTAACTAGCTTGACAGTTTTGGTTACAGAGGGTTTGAGCACAGAAGAAATATGTAGGGAAATTTAATGTTAATTTGACATTTTGGAAAAGCTGCTATGGGCTATAACAAGATGAATATTTATTGGTGACTTTAATGAATAGGTAACTTTTACTGCCAAGTTAGTGTTGTTCCACACTTTTTAAAATCTTACATTCCAAGTGTATTTGCAAAATTCTATTGCTGTTTTATTTGGCAAAAAGAGCATTATTGAAGCTGAATAGGGAATAGGGCAGTTTTTTGCATCTGTTCCTAGTATTCCAAATACCTACAAGACTTTGGCAGTTGATCAACCTTTCATAGATAAAGTGCTACTTGAGGAAAATGCAAAAATAATAAAATGGATGTTACTGATCAGTCAATGCTAATGTAGTGTCAGAAATAAGTGAACAGGTGTTCTTTGGAATTTTAGGCCCTTACTACTCTCTAAACATTTAGCTCATTTTACAATCACAAACTGAGTATCCAAAAATTGAGCAAAGACAAAAAGAAATAATTATTTCCTGCATGAAACTATAATCTGAAATTTCTTTGCTACTAACTATTATGAGCAAAAGAACATCAAACCAAATAATTATGAAAATTCCACAATAAGAAAGTCATGCAATCTTGTTTCTGCTACAGTGAATCTTCTTGGTTTGTTTGGGGGTTTTGGTTTCTATTATATTACAGCCCAGAGAAAATTTTAAACTTTGCTTTGCCTTATTTTAATTCTGTTGTTTGCACATAAAAGGATATTTGTTGTGTGGATTAAGTGGTTTGTGAGCAGGGTTGGATAACATAATTATGTTTTCATTTTTTTAGAAGACTGTGGGATGTATTTCCCAGAAGTGAAAAATCACCCAGACAAATATTTACAAAGATGTCCCGAGTCTTTAAAAAAGTGGCTGAAACAACTGAAGAATGCTGGGAAGATTCTGCTGTTAATTACCAGTTCTCACAGTGACTACTGCAGGCTTCTGTGTGAACATGTTCTTGGGTAAGTGCAAACTCCATTTCAAATTATATCTGCCCAATTTGGAGATAAGCCTGAGTTATTGGTAAGCTAATTTGAGTTTTGTTTATGTATGATGAATTATTTGGTTCCGAGTTTTCCACTGGGCCCCTCTCTAGTGGAGCGTTACAAGAGACGGAGTAGTCGATCTGTGAGCCTGTGAGCTGTGTCTGACCCACAGCACACTCACAACCTGCATCCTTTTGGAGGCATCATGATGGGATTGAAGATGCCAGGGAATTATCTTTTAGGCCAATATCCTATCCACCATCTGATTCCTAACTTTATTGTAAACTGTTGCTAAACTGTCTTATTTAAGCCACTTCTTTTCTTGCTTCTCCAGCAGTGAATGCAACTAGTAGTACTGTTACATTTCCTCGCAGTAAATTTGCAGGAAAATCTTACCAGTACTTTTTCCCATTAGTGGTTTTCCAAAGATGGCTGCACATGAGAAATGTGCTTCTTCACAGCAGAAAAGATACAGCAGGCAGTTTATTGCCCTTGGCAACTGGTGGAGGCTGCAGTTGCTGATCACAGTAGCTGTTTGTAGCATAATGTTAAGAACATGGCTGGTCAAGTCAAATTCAGTGAAATTCAGCAGAACTATCACTTACCTAGAAAATAAATTACCACTGAAAATAAATCAGTGATGCAAATAGAGGTGACAGAGCAAGACGGTTTATCATTAATCCAAGAAATAAAGTAGTTCAGTGTGACCCTACCTTGGCTATCAGGATATGCCAGGGAACAGCAGAATGAATACAGCAGCACTGTAAGAAAACCACGGGTAAGGTAAAAGACAGAGCTACCTTCCAAAACCAGTCCTGCCAGTATGACTTCTCTTTTGTACTCTCTAGGCTAAATGCTAAAACAAAGCATCAGCTGTGCCAGTTCTCACTGCTTTGCATGAACATTACACTTGCTCGTTTGAGGGAGAAATCTCCCTCCTGACAAAAAGCAATTCTCCTTTATGAGCAAGATGTCTGTGAATTACCTCTTTTGTGTAAATCTGTCTAGTTATTTCATAGATGAAAATTTGGTATAAAAGTAAATTCTTGGCCACATACAATGATTTTGGCTTTCTGTTCCTTGGTGAATAGTGTTCAGCTGTTGAAGGTAGCTGTAGAAATCCTGCTGGAAGACAGTAAGCAAGATATCAGAAATGATCAGTTACCTTTCAAAACACCCAAAAAAGATATCCTGGTAGAAGGATACTGTGTCACCTGTGTCACTCTCTTTTCCACAGAAGTGTAGATTGTTCTATGGTATTTATTACAATCATATTTTCCAGTGATTCATGCAGTGTGGCTTCCAAGTAGCTTTTGGAGAACTGAGTACTCCACTGTCCATTAGACTTTAGCGAAGTGGGGTTATTTTCCTGAAAATCTAAACTTTTTAGTGATTTCGTTTGTTTCATGCCTCTCATATGAGACATAAAGACTCTTCGTATCTGTGCTACTTTTTGCTGTACTGGAATATAGTTCAGGTTCACCCCTATTATCTCTGCCCTTAACTTTATTTGACCAGGGTAACTGGTTTTTATTCTTGACATCAACACTTACAAATTGCACCTACATAATCCTTTATTAAGGATTATTAAGGATTATGTAGGTTAATCAAAATGATACTGAGAAGCCCAAAATTGTATAGTATGAAATAAAAAAACCCATAATGATAAATATGAAAAACAGAGATGCGTGTAAAGTTTTAGCCTCTTACTCCTAATATCCTTACCTTGTAACTGTTTACTTTTTTGCACTTTGTTAAAGAAGCTCCTTTTTGGTGAAGAAATTATTGTCTTCATAAAAGCTGTGCTGGGAAATTCATACTTAAGTGTATCATTTACCATTTCATGAGCAAAATATCCCAACTGTGCTCATCTGACAAAATTGTCCTTAACTAGAACACATTTTGGTAGGGAGAGGAAGTACAAGAAAAAACTTCATTTTGAAATAAAATGACAACTGTTTCCCAGCCAGAGCACAGACATACTGCTGGCATCAGTAAAAAAGACATGTAAACCTTAAAAAGCAAGTGCCAGCTCATTCATACAGCAGCATCATGGTGTGACTTTTCAGTCTTACCTACCACGAGGATGCTGCCCAGTTAGTTGAACCTTTAAATGTTGGCAGAAGCACACCTCGAGATGAGTCAATCATCACACAATCACTGAAGCCAACTGTATTTCACTTTTTCAGGAATGTTAGCCACCTAAAAGTGAGTAACTTTTTGAAGCTGGTCATTTCCTTTCCCTCTGTGGTTAGTGGAGAGAAACCACTGGACATTATCCTTGGCAATTCAGTCTGCATGGTTATGAATTATGTCTGAAATAAGTGGGATGGATTACGTTTCAAGAATGTGGATGTTTCTCCACGGATTCTGTCTGTGGCGTCAACCACTATCTGAATTCAGAGTGCAGTTTTTAGAAGGTGGAAGTTACGATACATGTGTAAGATACATCCTGCCCAGTGTGCAAGCTACTTACTGTAACCACAGGCCACTGTACCAATCACAGGCAGTGATTGGTGGAACAGATTTGCTTTATGTATAATGTTACATAAGAGTGTAACACAAAGTCTCTCATAGAAACAGCAGCTTTGTACATGAGATTGAATATATTGTTTCAAAAAAGGCCACAGATAACAGCATCTCCTCACACAAAGCAGTTTTTCAGCAGAGTAACAAAAAGTTACCAATTCTTCTGAAAAGTCTGTTTGTTCTGTTTCAATTTTTTTATACAAAGCACTTGCCACTTTTCCCACAAATCAGAGAATCACAGAGTCATTTAGGTTGGAAAAAACCTTTAAAATCATTGAGTGAACCAAGCACCTCTGTGTTCTCCACTAACCCGTATCACCAAGTGCCACATCCACACATTATTGGAGCACTTCCAGGGATGGTGGATCCACCGCTACCCTGGGCAGACTTCTCTTATACCTGACCACCCTTTCTGCGAAGAAATTTTGCACAATATCAAATCTAAACCTGCTCTTGTACAACTTGAGGGAATTTCTTCTTATCCTCTCACTTGTTAATAGTTCTTTGTTGTGCTCCTGAAACGCTTGCTTTGTTTTGCATTTAATTTACCACTAGATGGATTATTTGCATCAGATGCTAATTTGAAAAGTTTATCTCTGTTGATACTTTTCACCTGAGGACAGAAGAACCCAGCCTCTTAGCTCAGCATCTGGAATCTTCCACATGGAAGCAAATTTTAAAAACACATCATTGTAATATTTGATACTGGTACTTTTTAAAAGGCAAAGGTTTACATATGGCCATGAGTAGAGAAAAATTAGACAAAGCTGAAATTTCATTAGAGAAAGGAAATTTAAAGGACTTATATTTTAAGGCTGGAATGTAATTTTGAGCACAGCCCAAAAGCTGTCTCTCATAGAGAGAGCATTCAGTTTTTGATAAGATATCTCAGTCCCATGGAAGATCATGACTTATTTGAAAGTGATATAGTTAACTGGTTTGCTTCCACCAAACTTCCTCTACTGCTGATAGCATTTCAATGCCTGTGTCCATCCTGGACTTGCCATCTGTGATTTCTTTGTTCCATTCAAGAGTATCTATCACTTTTTTGGATTTTATAGGCAATGAAGTCAGCTAAGCAATGAAATATTTCTAATAAAATAAAGTGTGTCATAGATGAGGAATGTTTTCTTACATACCATGCTGAGACATTCAAACCATTTAAACTGATGGGATTTCCACAGTCCAGATAACAATCTGTATATATGGACCAAATGATCTTTGAAAACTCTGTATTTAATGGTGGGATTCAGCAGGCAGATGAGGACTTGAAGCTGGTGGCTGTTTATTTGTAGTCACATGTCCAGCCTCCCTGTAACCAGCAGGTATGTAGTGAGAGCAGCCAGCAGAGTCTGAAGAAGGAATTCAGCTGTCAAAATGGTGCTTCAGTTTTGGAATATGTGAGATTACACTCCAGTTTCCATTGGCTGTAAATTAGATCTATGGGGTCTGCCAAGAGCATCTTAGGCCTGTGGATACATACAAATAAGCACCTGTGTTTAAGTCTCTTCAGCCACTTTCTACCCCATTACTTTAGATTTTCTTTTTGGAAAAGAAAATCCCTCATTTTACAACTTTCGGTCCACGTCTATGCATATGTTGCCATCTCAGATTAAAAAAATGTCATCTGTTACATGTTCTCCTGAGATCAAGGAACATCTTTTTACAAATAAAGAGTGTTCTCAAAGATAACTCACTGGGGGTTTGACTCTCTTTTGACAGCCTCAGGAAAAGAATAATAGACATTGAACAAGCATCAAAAAAAAAAAAAAAAAGTGACAGAAACAAGTACCTTAAAGAAATACTCTGATGTTTTCTTAAGTCTTAAAGAGTATTTCATAACATTTTAAGTAACTTGTGAGTTTAATTAATCACATTTACTTTACTTTCTAGGAATGATTTTGAAGAGTATTTTGACATTTTGATCACAAATGCTTTGAAACCTGGTTTCTTCTCCCATACACCAAATCAAAGACCTTTCCGAACTCTTGGTAAGTTGCAGCTGTAAGTCCCTTCTCATCTGCTTACTTCTATGGGAAAAAAAAGAAAGAAAATTAAAGCAACGGAACACTGGCAGTGGGGTGGGAAGTGAACTAAAATTCTGTTAAGACTGAGGACCATTGAGAAATTAAAAATTACAGTGTTGAGGACAATTAAAAGGCAGAGCTTTGATAGTAATTGAAAATACATTGGGGTTCAGATATTTCATCAATAATGAAAAAGAAGCTTCATTGTGCTCACAGGGTCATGCAAAGAAAACAAAATTTAGTTCTGGGAAAAAAAAAAGCAGAAATACTTAAAGAATTTAAAGGAAATTAGGAGAACTGTACAAATAAAATTGTAAAGCTGAAGGAAAGAATTTATGATGGAAATCTGACAGCATTAAGTGTGTTTACTTTGGCTAAATAATGAGAGAGCAGGTGAAAAGGAAGCACCCCTGTACTCACTTAATTTAATTAAAACAATCTGAAGCACTTGGCAATGTTGTCCATTAGGTAATTAAGGTTGTAACACAGGAGGTTTATAAGAGCAATGTTCATTGAACTACAAATAACAATAAAACATTGCTGAAGACAGTTTACTTTTCTATATTTTGGTAAATATCTTTATGATTAAGTTACCTGAAAATTAATCTTATAGCCAAAATAACTTAAGTCAGCATACACTAAACCGCCGTTGATCATTAATTTATAACAGGAATAGCACCATTCCAGCCCAAAAGAAATTTTGCTTGTGTAACTTCTACAGTAAATCTGAAACAAGCAGCAAAAATACATATTGAAACTATATTTTAATGTTTCACATATTTATATAGGAAAATAAGAAGTATCCGAGGTGTGATTTTTAAAGGATTAGTTCAAATAGTTGCCAAGCTGACAGTTTGAGAAAAAAAAGTAATCTCAGAAGGGAGATTGAAACTATTTGTATGAAAGGAGAAGGGGGAATAAAATCATAAAGGGTGAAAGAGGCTTAGTTCTGCAACCATTTGATTTAGTTTTGTATAAAGCAAATTGAAAATAAAATGAAATTCGCTTTGGATTTCTTTTAAACAATCTGATTAGCCTGACTTCCTGAGGAAATCCTGCTGTGTGCCTCTGTCAGAAATCCAGCCAGCAGCTTTTGGACCTGTTGAACAGTTTCAGTAAATTTAATCAACAGCCAAAAAGCTCCAGGATACTTTGATGAGGGGGTTTTTGTTTTGGTTGGGGGGTTTTTTTGTGCAAAAAAGGGGCTGAATAGAGGGAGAAGACCAAGTTACTCTCTCCATTGATAATATGTAGCATTGGCATAATCACCACATTGAGCTGTAAGGAACAGTTTTCATGAAGATGTTTCTTTCTCTGCTTTCAAACAGGAACAGCATTATCTGGAGTCCTCTTATTGACTTAGTGGTTTTCATTCAGTTTATATCCTGACAATGCAATGGGGCTCAAATGTCAGTCAATCACTCATTATGTTAATACCTTATTAATGCAAAATAAAATGTAGTTTTTGTTCTGGACACTTCACTATCTAAATGTGAAGCACACGAACATAGCTAAAGTAATAATCAGATAAATAATTTGTTGAAACAACTAACCTGAGAGTGTATTTTTTTCTTAATATGTTTGTATCCAAAGACAGTAACTGCTGTCTTCTGCAAGACCAACCACAACATTCACAGCAAAGACTTATACACATAGGACAGGTTTTTAGAGATATGTTTAAAAGTACTGTAGAGCTTGTTTAAGAGTACATGAAGTTTTAGCCATAAAAGTAGGAGCATTGATATGAGAAAATTCCCAAAATAATAATACATTTCTCTAATGTTTATTTTGCTGCCCTACCTCTGTGTTCCTCACAGCAGCTGAAACAGTATACAGTGTAGCTTCTAACACATTGACAGGGAGCAGTTTTCTAGTTTTCAGAATTTTAAGGCTTTTTTTCATATCAGAACCACTGAAAATTAAAAAATCGCAGTTTCTAGTTTCTTTCTTCCTGTTGGCACTACAGACTTCAGGCAGAAGAGTTTGGCCACTGTGCTGCAGATCAGGGGGACAAAATTTTCATATTTTTCCTTTGAAAAATTAAAAATCTGCAGGTAGACACCATAGTAAATATTTTCTTAAAGCACAGAGACTAAACTTTTGCTAAGGTAATTTAGGGTAAAAAAACCTTGTTCTAGGAAGAAATGTGTTGGGAAGTAATGTGTTGTTTCTAGGAAGAAAACAAACTGAAGTAATTGCTTATCGTCATTACCCATTTTTCCAGGTCTGAGTCTCAGCCATGTTCTTCCAACCATTCAGTCTGAGCTGCAATAAATTCCTAATGGTACCATTTTTCATAGTGCTATAAATGGACTTAAGGATAAGGCACAAAATATGGAATGTGTTTTTAATTTCAAATATCCCAAGTGTTGCATTGTGTGCTGGAGCTAAATATTATTTATCTGTAACAGGACTTCTGCTCCAGATTTTGAAGGAAAGGTTGTGAAGTTTACTAAAGAGAAGGATAAATTATTCTCAGTGAATTAGTTCAAAAGGCAGTTGTATTCAGTAGGCATTTGAAGGAGAACGAGAAACAGGACAAGATGACAAAGGAGGCATTGTCTGGAAATGTGATATTGGGTAACAGCTCTGGAAGTGTTTTTTTCAGCAGACAAGTAATTTTGGAGCTAATCCATTTAGAAACCATGAAAAAATATTTTAATTGATCAATTAAAATTGCATCACTATTTCATTTTAATTTCAAGATGTGCATCATTTAAAGCAACCAAAACACTGTTTGAAAGCCTAAAAGATTTGTATGACTGGGGCACTGAAAAGCACAATAATTATTTATTTAATTTTGCATCATTTTTATCAAAGTACCATTCTGTTAAGTAAAGGAACAGTTTATATGTATCTTTACAGATTTTAGGACAGCTACACTTATTTTCATCTGGCAAAATGGTTTTTATGATTAGGGGTAACTTATGTAGCAAAGGATATATTTTGTGAAAACAGAGCTGCACATAAAAATACCCCCAGACTTTGCTACCATAATATAAATACTCCATAACTAACTTGTTATTCATGAGGTTGTATTTTGTTTTACATAGGGAAATTCCTCTCATGGTTCTTGAAAGTACTAATAATATCTTGAGCTACAAGACCTAAGGATCATGTTGAAAATGTTTGTGTAAATCCTATGTTGACAAGGAAGGATTTTCTTTGCTTTCAACAGCTACATCCAGCTTAAAATAATTTCTTATTCCATGAAAGGCTTGGAGGAATATAAATAGAAAAGACAGTTGTGAATTGTATAATAATCTGCAATACATGAAGATTTCTGTGACATTTGACAACAGAGCTTTCCCTTTATCACATCACTTTTTAATGCATATCAAATTACTAGCCTGACTGCTAGTCCTGATCGCTGCCAGATACATCCAAAATTATAATTGAAATGCTAAAGATAACCCTTAATTCCCTGGAAGCCTTCTCTAAGTCTGTATTCACAGGGAAGTCTGCTTGGTCTTAAAGAATGCTTATATATCTTTTATTTTCAGCTCAGGCACAGCTGTCTTTTCTGATCTGGTTTGGTTTTGTTTTGGTTTTTTTTTTTCCATAAATTGGAAATGTATTGCTGACTGTTTAGTGCCTGAATGTAAAACACACACTTCAAAACTTATATATAGCCTCATGTGCATGTATCTGTACAGGCCGAAAACAATCCTACAGATGTAGTGCCAGTGAATACCACTTTCAAAGCCTGCTTTCAGTTACACTTCCAGGCTGTCTTCCTTCCTCTGAACTTGAATTTCTGTCCATCTTAAGGTGCCTCTGCTGCAGAATGTAGCTTCCCATTTAAGAAACTTTCAGTCCTCTAATTTTTATGGTTTTCTGGAAACTGCCATTTTATCAGTTCTGTGCATAAGCTTCTTCTCCACCCTTCTAAAAATACAAGAAAATTCTAAAAGCTGAAAGGACCAATTAGAAAGGAAATAATGGAGATGGGATATAAAACACCATGTCTCTGCAATAAAGACCACCTTTGGTTATTAGGGACTGCAAGACTTCAGAAGGTGGTGATCCCATGTCTGCTACTTGAGTTTTCTTGTTCCATCTTTTGTGAACAACTGGGTTTGACTGCGCCAGAGATGGGCTGGGGGATCCAGCTGGTGGGGGCATGGGAGGAGGGAGGTAGAGTAAGAGCAGAGCAGGACATGGAAGCATAGAGAGGAAAGGGATTTCACACTGATGGGGTTGTCTGAATGTCAGGTCTTTGTTTTTTGACTTCTACTGTTGTCTCAAGGAGGACTTTTGCAATAAGGCTAGTGTCTCAAACGTAGCTTAACATGATGTACCCATGTCCTGGGCTGACTGGGGCTCCCAGCTGGCCCTCCAGCCACAGCAGGAGATGCAGCAGTGTCTTCCCACAGGTCTCAGAGCTCAGGAAGCCTTTTGCAGGGATGCCCACAAAGGGCCTTATCTCACATCTCTCAGGAGGCACAAGCAGAATAACAACAGCACCAGCAAAGGGCACCTGTGTAATCTTGTCCTCCTCTGGCTGAGGGTGTTCCTGTATCTAATGCAGCTGTGCTTGTTGCCATTCTTCTGGAGATGGTGTCTGTTCAGATCAGTCTGTGTGGATATGTTCTGTAACATGAGGCCACATAATAATGCATTTTTGCTGGGAGCTTGTGACAGAGTGCATGTAAAGGGTGCACTGGCTGCACACTGCATTATTCAAGAGCTATCAAGTCCATAACCATTTCCCATATCTCTTCTGCAGGAAGATGCCTTTATATTGTTATAACATCCCACAGTGCCATATGGCCCTTAAAAGCCATGCTACTCTTTTTTAAGGGAAGTGCTGTTTAGCAATTCTTTAAAGTGTATTGGCACTGTTTTTCATGTGATTTCCAGCTTTTTAGGAAAGAAAAATGATTAAAACTAACAAGTAATGTTATTTTGTACTCTAGTCTTCAAAACTCAATCTTTTCGTACCTCGCAGTACATGACATTAA